GCAAACTTAAACAAAAAAAAAGGATCAAATTATACATGAATTGGAACTAACCCAAGCCTATTCAAACTAAGCAACCCGAGTCAAGTACATGCTAGTTCAGCCCTAGAAACCCTCCCTCTAGGCATGTAGACGCACTCCATTGGCCAAACTGAGCTTCAAAACTTCCCAAAGGGCTAGATTAGCCTTAGTCAACTGGTCCCAAGGTCATGGCCTTCTTTTCACAAAGAGGGGAAGGTATGTTCCTCTTTCTTTGGCTAGTGATCCCACAACCTCTGCCCTAGGCCAGACCAGGTGGTTGGATGAGCACAGAAAATAAATAAAAAAAAGGAGAATTTGGGATCCTCCACTCACCCACCCCAGCTGATTTTCAATGCTGAAGGATCCAAGGAGTGATGCTAATTGGCCTCTCCACCATAGAACTGGCCTTCTCCAAAGGACAAAATGGTATTTAGACCTCTTCCATGACTTAAATTAGATTCAAATGATGCTTTAAATCTTGCCTCAATCATTAACATCTTATGGTTACATGATTAGGGTTGTCAAAACGATTTTTTGTTCGTGAACGGCTCGTGTTCGGCTCGCTAAGCAAATGAGTCGAACACGAACACACTTTTTGAGCTTGAAATATAAATGAGCCGATCACGAGCTGAGCTTGGGCTCGCTCGTGTTCGGCTCGTTTACACCCCTAGTTGCGAGTGGTAAACAAAAAAAAAAGAATGAATTAATAATCCTATTAAGTGATAAGAACTTCAAAAAAATCATAGAAAATGAAGAAAAAAAAAAGGAAATGCTCCATTCAATGAGCTATTCCTTAGGATATTAAAAGCCTTAAATTATACAACATAATATAGGCTTAATTTGACAAATATGCAAAACCATCAAAACCCCAATTAAACATTAACTAGACCTAGTTATGACCCTAGATTTTTGTGGGAGGTTCCTTAGGTCTAGAGAGACCACGGGAAATTTTTCTGAATTTTTTTAGATCCAAATTAATTAGGACTATTCCCCAATTTTGTCATAAACCCCAATTACATGGCCTAATTAATTAATTTAGCTACCTAAACCCGAATTAAACCACATAATCTCAAAAAAAATGTGTTGATCTCAACCCTAATTAAGCTCCCTAAAGCTTAGACATAAAATTTAGGGATAATTTCATTAGAGCAAGATGATTAGAGGCTTAATTTAATTAATCTAAAGTCATTAATTAATACATTTGTAAATTAACCTTATTAATTTAAATAACTCAAAAATTTAACTTAATTCCTTTGGATAAACACTTCACCCTAGGATATTTCTCCCCTATAAAGTTTTGAAAGCAGAAAGTAACTAAAAATTGCTGAGACTTTGTTAGTATATAAATAAATATTAAACACTAAACATTAATTTTAATTAAAAATACTTTTAAAATTACCTGATCTTCTAAAATTTATAAGAATCAATCTACTTCACCAAATTTAATAAAATTTTAACCATAGACATTTCATATAGAGAAGAATATTATAATAATATGCTAAAAATATTTTATCAACTAAAATATTTTCTGAAATTTAAGAATCTAAAGATTGAAATAGATTTTTAATAAATCATAACTTAATAATTACAATAAAAAAATTCTTGAAATTTTCACAATAGCCTTGAAGAATATTCATAAGCAACCGATCAATTTTAGATTTTTCTAAAATTATTTAATTTTATGTAATTAAAGACTAGTTCATTGATAAATTAATTAATCAATAAAAAAAGAAAGAAAGGTAATTTAAAATGGTCCGCAATCTTCTAAAATTAATCTTCTAATTCTAAATGAGATTTGAGGATAATTTAATAGGATTTAAGGCCTACTTTGGATAGTTTAACCTTAATGGAGCAAATTTTAAATTCAATTAACAATAACTTAATAACTAGCATAATCCCCTAAACATTATAGTCTCTTAAAATTGATCTTAAACTTTCTTGGAACTCTCCACCCTTCACGTAGAATTCCATAACACTTCTTTGGAATCCTAAATAGATGACTCAACAATTTAATTGACTTGAACCCAAGCTAAGTGAAATTTGAATAAAAAAAACGGACTAAAATGTTAACCAACAAACTTTAAGTTAAGAATGTGTAATGAGGCCACCTGTAGCCACTCAAGGCGGTGCATTTCATTTCCATAAAATAACATGCTTCTACCTGCTAGGATCAGGGAGTTGTGTGTAGTGGGACATCCGGCAAGATGAGACATTTTCAAAACACCAATTATAATATTAAGTAACAATGAACTTAACTAAAAGATTAAAATTGAATATAACCGCACAACATGAAAGTCATTTAAACTTTGACCACCCAATGGCTAACCCTTTAGCATAAAGGACAGAATGACTATCTCACACTCTGCATGGTTAGACGTTTTGGCCAGTTCACAAAAGTAGACTTAGGATAGGTCGATCGTACTTGTGTGTGCCTTTTTTTATGAGCATTGATTATTTGTTTGAATTCAATGTGGATGACGCTATATTTTTTGTTGTTGTAGATGGACATTTAGGTCAACTACCACTTAAATAGACTGCATGATCGAAGACCTTTATAGTACCGACATTGTTTTCCTAGAAGGGGGCCCGATGCTGCAAAACAACACTAGGTCCAAATGAAATTTGTGTGATGAATATGTTTATCGTGTTTATTGTGCTAACGTTTTTTTGCATGCTTCGTATTAAGTGTAAATTTTATTTTCCTCTTTGAGTCTAGAAGTTAGGATTGTCCTCATTGGATGGCTTGGATGCTCGATGCGTCTGAGATGAGACTTGCTTAAAGATGGAGCAAGAAAGAACCCAATAAGACGATGGAGCAAAGATGAACTTCAACAAAATGATGAATATCAAAGGAAAGAATGAACCTCAAAAAGGTGACGGAGTCAAAGGAAAATTCTAAACTTAGCAGAGCACAAATCAAGGACACCCAGAAAGCCAAGTCACCAGTGAGACTTTAGTAGGCAGACTGGCTGCCCATCTTTCCTTCTTGTGTTGTACGGTGGCATTCAGCCACCTCTTTTGTTTATTGATTTTGTTTGTTTTACCTGCTTTCTTGTGTGCTTGTACATGCATTAGAATTTTTTTTTTCCTAGGCTTCTTCTGTGTTTAAGTGCTTAGTTAAGCCTGAATTATGTTAGACTCTTAGAATGAGAGATTTTTCATCCAACTTCAACTTTAATTTAATTTTTCGGAAATACAACTCATAACAAAAATTAAAATGTTACAACTCTTAACTTAATAAAAATATTGGCATTTCACACCAAGTAGACATTGCATCAAAATTAATTTAATATTAATCACCTTAAATAAAATCAATTAAAAAATTTAATGATTAAGGTGAACCATCTACATATGATAGCATCGTATTGTATTTTTTGTTCTTCTCTTCGCATCTACATATGAAAAAATTTAATGATTAAGGTGAACCATCTACATATGATAGCATCGTATTGTATTTTTTGTTCTTCTCTTCGAGCATTCACTCATTGCACAAAAGGGGGAATTTGACCTATGAGAATCACAACCCTTAAGGAGTGAATTTATTTTTCGTATTGATTAGCCTTAACGACTCTTCTAGAATGCATCATATAAGAACTTACATAACCCTTTTCACAACCTATACTTCACAGTTAGTGTCTCACTTCACACAGTATCATCATTTTCAGTCGGCTCTGTCGAGTTAACGTCATCTTTGCATAAATAATAAAAATTCAATTTTTTAACTTAAGAAAATATTTGAGCGAGGTGCATACGTTACCCGAGCCACTCAATCTTCAGGATCGAGTCATAAGTCCCAATAAATCTTTCCTAATAATATCCTACCACCCTTAACGTGCATGTGACTGGACTTATGGTTTTAAAGTGTAGAACATGTTTGTTTGTAGCCTATTTCAGGAGGGTTATAAGTCCAAGAGAGCCGGGTTAAGTTTCATGTCTTAGTAGGAATGTAACCTATAAGCCCTACCCTTTTAATTAAGTTTGAGCATCCATCTTATCGGTAGAACTCATCTTAGTATAAGTTATGAGGTAATTTTGTTGGCCTTGCTATGGAACTGACCTCTCCTAGGCTTTTCGATGGCTCATCCGTCGAATATAAGTTCCAATTTTCTAAAATTTATTCAACTCAAACAATAATCATTGTTTCACTTTTAAAATTATAAAGCCCAGCTATAAGATAAACTGGGGCAATCACTGGTCTCTAAGTATACAGTGCTCCCTAGTTTTCTTCCGTCGGCTTCCGATAATAAGTGTTTCAAATTTGAGTCAATCCCTTTTAAAATTTTGCATAACAGCCTTGATATCCAATGTTATACTCCGCGTATATGAATAGTCACTGTTTTAATCGAGAGTTGCCCTTTCCGAGGACATAATTAAATAAAAGGACTTGCCTTTTTAAGGATGGCAAAGCCCATATTAAAATAATTGTCCTCCTATCCAGGGGACAAACTGGTTTACGCAGCCCACGAAGTAGTGAAACAATTACTTTGGGATTGAATCCATCGTAGGCAGTATTCATCCTTCGGGGCGATATACTATTCCTTGATGTCGTGTTCGATCACAAGTAATAAACTTCAAAACTCCCATATATGGTCATTTTTCCCCTTACCTCTCCATGCACAGGCAAACACACCCCCCTTTAATTATTAATTGTTTTTACACGAACAAAAACATATGCACCAAAAAATATGCAATCACAAAATAGACATAAAAATATACTCAAAAGTATGAAGCTTCTACCAATTAAGGGTATGAGGAGTTGACATACACATAACTTACCCCTGCATTTCCAGATGTGGTTTTCGAGAATTAAATTCTCAAAAAATGGCCTCCAAATAACACTGAATGCAACCTAACCTTTCTAATATAGACTAATTCAAAAAATAGCCACCCCGATATCATGCAAACATCAACAACATAAAAAAAAAGGGTTTTAGCCACATAAAAAATAATAATAATAAATAAACCAGGGAGGTGACTTCTACCTGGTCCATTCCTCCAGATTGTGTTCCAATGTGGCGTTCACAGACACATGTAAGCTGAGCAACTTCTTTCTATAAAATAAGAGAAGTAACAAATAGCAAACCTCTTTCAAATCTAATCAAATTAGTGAAAGAAAAAAAAATACCATTGGCTAAGTAACATATAGATTAAATAATCCACATTTTTTAAGCAAAGTTATAGAATCAGGAGTCTCCTTTTTGAGCTAATACAATACTAATTTTCCCAATGGTTTCAGAAATGAGTGCAGAAATCCATATCCGCCTATAAGAAATTTGGCCTAGTGATGCAAGCAAGGATTGTCCTTACAGGCCCAATTTTGTTTGGTCACTTCAAGAAAAACCCCTACTCAAATGTCGCATAATAGAAATATTTAAAATATATCCACTGAGATCTAACTAAAAGGAATGCTCTTACGATTTGTGGACTACAAGAGAATCTGCAATATACCAGCACTAAACTGGCAGAATTCGCAGTGCACCGTACCATGGCAGAAAATACAAAAGAGTATGCACATAAAGACTCCGGTATGTAACAGAACTTACTTTGGGGATTTTTACATTAAAAACAGCCATGATAGAAATTGTTGATGAGCAAACAAAGGCTGCGGAGCTTGATAATCCAGAGCCTGAGTCATAGCACACGAAAAAAATCAATTTTTGATAAAAATGATTCCATATTGGAGAGCCTGGTCAAAAATTACGAGAAATTAAGCAACTTCTGGCAAGCAATTTCTGATAAGCAATAACCTGTAGGAACAGTTCCATCTACGATAACATCAAGTCCAACAGGTTCACCAATATCTAGCCCCTTTGATTTTGCATACTCATAAAAGCCTTTATATCTGCAGTAACAGATTGGCATCAAAACATGTAAATCAACCTGAATCAATACGTAATAAAATCTGAAGGTATGAAGCAAAGGTGAAGCAGAAGTTTATATAGAATAACATGATATATAAAGAAAAGCGTGGACGAAGCATGTGGAAAGCATTCAGACACATAAATTACGCTGTCAGTGGCTATGCATGCACTTCAATGCATTCATGAATACAGCATAACAGGAAAGAGTATTTGTATAATGCTACCAAAAGAGTATTTAGGAATTGATTTTTTTTTTTCCACCCAATCAGTATTGCTGATTCTTAAAAAGTACTTTTCCAGTTTCTGTGCTTAGGTCAAAGAAATGTTAGCTTTTTACAGAAAATGTATGTCATATGGTGACGTTAAAACAATTTAGTAGTACAGAAATCATTCACTAAATTGAAGCAATATCAGAATCATCATCCTTACTAAAGAAAGGCGGAGAAAATCACATTCTCTTATTTCTCAATTAGTCAAATTACAACTCTTCTCCTTATATAAGGAATGACTAGGTCAAACTTAATTACAACCATTACAACTTACCAAAGATAAAATAACTCAAGAAGGAAAGAAATAAGATTTAATAAAAAAGAAAAAAAAAAATAACACTAAAATAGGAAACTCAAAATTCCACACTCCGCTCAAGCTGGGTCATAGATTTTGTAAAGCTAGGTATTCAAATTGGTGAAGCTATCCAAAGGTAGAGATTTAGTGAAAACATCAACGACCTGAAGAAAAGTTGGAATGTAGAGTAAGTGAATAGTGCTCCAACGGCCTTTTTAGAGATAAAATATCTATCAATCTCAATGTGTTTGGTTCTATCATGATGCACGAGATTCTTATCGTTATTAATGGTAGTTTGGCTATCACAGAACATCTTTATGGTATTGATTGTGGAGTATCCCAACTCACTTAGTAAACTTTGGATCCACATTCCTTCAAAAATTCCCGAAACAAGTGCCCAGTACTCAGATTCTGCACTATTTCTAGAGACCGCTGCTTCCCTCTTGCTCCATCAGGTGACGGGATTTCTGCAGAAATAGGAACAATACACAAAAGAGGACCCTCTGTCCATGATTTCTCCTGCCCAACTAACATTAATGTAAACCTCTACCTTCCTGTTGTCTAATTTCTTGAAGAGTAACCATTTGTCAGGAAACTTCTTAAGCAACCTTAATAATCTGTAAATCATATTCGGACTATTCATATATTGACTCACAATGCCGACAGAGTAAGCGATATTAGATCTAGTGTGTGACAGGTAGATATGCTTACCCACCAATCTCTGATTTCTTCATTTTTCCAGTGGTGGCTTATCTCTCCCTAAATGTAGTTTTTTTTGTCAAAATTTATATGATTCTCAGCAACTTTGCATCTCAGCATTCCTGACTTTTTAAGTAGGACTAGGATCCTCCTATTTTGGGATATCACAATACCCTCTTGGACCTGGCAACTTTCATGCCCATAAAGTATTTCATCGCTTCTAGATCCTTAACTTCAAATTAAGTGGCAAAGACCTCCTTGACCTTCCCAGTCTCCTTTTCATCATCACTTGTCAGGATCATATCATCTAAATAGACAATGAGTATAGTCTCCTTACCCACCTGTATATATTTTATGTATATATTTTATGAACAGTATATAATTCGCTTGGCAATAGGTGTACCAATTAGATTTCATTGCCTTGGCAAGCATGTCAAACCACGCTCTTAGATGTTGTTTGAGACCATAAGTGGCTTTCTTAGTTTATAAACCAGATATTAATTTGAGTCATTTTACAGTCTTAATGGGATTTCATACATACTTCTTCATCAAGGTTTTCATTAAGAAACACATTCTTGATATCAAGTTGATGTATTTCTCATTTTTTGTTTACTACCAAAGAAAGAAGAACTCTTATAGTGTTTAATTTGGTTACTGGAGCAAATGTCTCTTGATAGCCTTTCTCAAAAACTGAGAGAAACCTATGGCCACCAACCTAGCCTTTAATCTTTCAATAATTCCATATGCTTTGTACTTGACATTGAACACACATTTGCACTAAATGGGTATTTTATCTGGAGGAAGCTTTGTAAAGATCAACGTACCATTTAAATTAAGTGTTTGGATCTCCACTTCAACTGTCTTTTCTCATGATGGCCTTTGAAGTGCTTCTTGAATATACATGAGTATCTACGCACTATCAAGATTGGATACAAAAGCTTTCTAAGTTGGAATAACGTCACATATGCAACATAAACCTGGAGAGGATAATTTATGCAACCTTCACTGTCTTCTCCACTGGATTACATCTCCCTTAGAGCTTTAGAGATGTGTAAATTTAGATTTGGTTATGGATAGTCTTTTGGTTGTATATTGTCTTTATCCTACTCAATGAATTTCTTTTTTCTAGTATGCAAAGAAGTTACTTGTCAATCTTGGGTTAGATGTTTTCAACTGGCGGAACTTGGAAGGCAAGAGGAATAGAAGGTAGGAGAATAAAATATGATGACTCTAGATTTGTGTGGGTATCCAAAGTAGTGTAGGGAAGTGGAATAGGTTGTGATGACTCTCGATCAGTGTGAGCATCCAGAGTATTAGCCCAAGTCTGATATTCACTCGGACTCTCCCTCTATATGTCAGATTTGGGGCAGTATGGTTGGTTTTCAAAAATGTTAACGTTCATAGAGTTATAATATTTTTTTTTGTAATGGATGAATAGCACTTGTACCGCATGTTGTTAGAAGCATACCCAAAGAAGTTACATTTGATAGATTTTGGGTAAAGCTTTGTAAGGTTTGATTGGTGAATGTGAACCAAATTGAGAACTAAAATCTTTTATAGGAAGATTGGATGAGAAAATTCTACATGAGGGTGTTTTTCCATCACAATATTGAGAGGGGTTTTGAATCCAAGGACCTTGCTTGGCATTTTATTAATGAAATAGGTGGCTGTGAGCACGACATTTCCCAAGAAAAGTTCTAGAATATTGTGAGAAAGTATTATAGACCTAAGTACCTCAATGATATGTCTAGTTTTCCTTTCAGTTATCCAATTTTATTGTAAAGTTTAAATACAGGAGCACACATAGATGATGTTATTCTTTTCAAGATAGGATTCAAGGATAGAATTAAAGTATTCATTTGCATTATGAGTTTTGAGGGTCTGAATTTTATATTATTACTAAGTGAAAATCCTGTTATAAGATTGAAAGATTTGTGCAATTCTAGATTCTTCGTTCATGAAAAATATCCAATCGGTTCTAGTGTAGTCATCAATAAGGAAGACAAACCATATAATTCCATTGATGGTTTTTAATTTTGATAGTCCCCAAATATCATTGTGGATGTAGAGAAAGGATGTGAGGGTTTGTAATAGGAGAGAAGATAAACATGATGAGTATGTTTAACTAATTAGTTGGTCGCTATTGTTGTTGTTCTTGTCGTTGCCGCTACTATTGCGGGGGCGACAGCTACTGCTATTGCAACTGCTATTGCTAGAAGAAACGTCGGACGACAGCAAGATGAATAACGGCCAGTGGAGAAGGGCCTAAATGAATCTGGTTGCAGGGTAGCCAAACGGATTCAGACAGTTGTCGAGAGAAGTTTCGGTGACCGGAATGAGTTTATGCGGTTGTTGCTTACTGCAGGAAGCGAGGAACGTCTACTGCAACGAGTTGTCTAGTTTGGGACCTCCACTACAGAGAAAAAATTGGAATTTCAACTAGGGAGAGAAAATCCAATCTCTCGGGCAAGGATCGACGGCTATAGGGAGCCTATCAGCGAAACTTTACGTAAAGAAGCAAGGGAGAAAATCCATGAAAGAAACACAATGGACGCCCGCATCTGCACGAAAGGAATCAAACGGATGAAACCCCCATCTGGATCCTCGCCTGCTGAGAAGGAAACGAGCGTATGTAAGGAAGGAGATGATCCCATGGAGAAAGGACAGCTAAGGTTTCTTTCTGGCTCTGATATCATGAAGAAATGTGGATAAAATTGTATTCACTTACTTCTCAATAAAAGAAATGTGGATAAAATTGCATTCTCTTATTTCTCAATAAATCAAATTACAACTCTTCTTCGTATATAATAAGGAGCGAATAGAGCAAATTGAATTACAATCATTACAACTTACCAACATACATAACCTAAGAAAGTAAAAAAAGAGAAAAACACAAAAACTGGAAAGTCGGAATTCCACACTCACAAACATGTCATCAACAAGTCTAACTCAAAAAATCTATTGGGAACACCAAATGTTTCCCGGATCTGGTTGGCAATGTAAAACCTAAATTAAATAGTATAGCTTCAAGTCCTGAGTGACAATTAATTGGTAGATTCCATCTTGGAATTTACCCAAATAGACTAATATTATATTAAGCTAGCTCATATATATAGTCTATTAAACTTTATGAGGAAGGGTTTTCACCTTATTATTGTTAAGATGCATGTGCATAATATGAGATTAGTGGAATCATTTAGTACACTTGATCAACATGACAATTTGATATTACTCTAGTTTCTATATTTTTATCCATAAAAAAATTCTGAAGATCCATTTAAGATTGTCAATAAAAACTACAAATTTATTCAACAATTACAACAAGACTTTGTCCCACTAAGTGGGGTCGGCTACATGAATCATTTTCAACATTATGTTCTATTGAGTGTCATATTTTCATTTGATTCTAATAAATTAATATTATTTTCTATACGACATGCCCAATTTTTTTTAGGTATTTTCTATACAACATGCCCAAGTTTTTTTAGGTTTATCTCTATCTTTCTTAATATAAGTCGAATCTAAAACATTTACTCTCCTAATCAGATCATCAGATGGTCGATGTTTAATGTTACAAAACTATCTAAGACGACTCTCTCTAATCTTATCTGCCACTGGAGCTACATCAACCTTTTCATGAATATATTCGTTTCGCATTTTGTCTCTAAGAGTCAAGCCACACTTCCACCTAAACATTCTCATCTCAGTAACATTTAAC